TACAATTACATGGGCAAGGTAATGAGTACATTTCTTATCAAGCATTGTTGCCTCCTCCTTTGTTTCCCCTTCCCATCCCTTCCCATCCTCCACCAGCTCTTTCTGTTTATGTGGTACTGAGGAATTGAACCCAGAGCTTCATGCATGCTAGGCAAGCACTCTACCACCAAGCCACATTCCCAGCCCCTTATCAAAATTTTCATTTCCAACATTTCTATTTGGTTCTTTTACAGATAAAATCTCTATGTCTTTTGAATTTCTCATTCGTGTACTGCATTTTCTTCCTTAATTTGTTCAGCTTTTTTCTTAGTTTCTTGAAATTCATTTATCTTTAAAAAAAAAAAAAAAACAACAAAAAACCCTGGGGAACCATACTGAGATTTGCTAGGCTACCAGTTGAACTTCACCTTGGCTCTTTTTTTTTTTTTTTTGTCGGCTGTGGAGCTTGAACGCTAGGCCTGGGCGCTGTCCTCAGCTCTTCAGCTCAAGGCGAGCGCTCTACCACTTGAGCTACAGTGCCACTTCCGTTTTTCTGGTGGTTTATTGGAGATAGGAGTCTCACGGTCTCTCCTGCCAGGGCTGGCTTTGAACCGCAATCCTCAGATCTCAGCCTCCTGAGTAGCTAGGATTACAGGCGTGAGCCACAGCGCCCGGCTCACCTTGGCTCTTTTATCTTTAGTTGTGTTTCAGGTAGGGTCTCATGCCTTTTTGTCTCAGCTAGCCTCAGATAATGATCCTCCAACCTATGTCTCCTGCAAAGGGATTAAAATTGTGAGCCATCATGCCCAGTGTATTTGTTAAAATAGGGTATCATTAACTTATTTCCAGGCTGGCCTCAAATTGTGGTCCTCTCTGTCTGCTTCCTGAGTCACTGGATTACAGGCATGTAGTACTACATGTGGCCCTTTATTAATCTAAAGTCAGGCACCAGTGGCTCATGCTTGTAATCCTAGCTACTCAGGAGGCTGAAACCTGAGGATTCAGCTTCAAAGCAGAAAGGTTCATGAGACTCCATCTGCAAAATACCTAGCAAAAGCTGGGCTAAAAGTATGTCTCTGAGGGTAGTATACCAGCCAAGTAAATGGAAGGCCTTGAGTTCAAACCCTGGAACCAGTAAAAAGTACACACACACTCACACACATAAACATAAAAATATCAAGTAAAGCTGGCACCAGCTCATGCCTATAATTCTAGCTACTCAGGGAGCTGAGATCTGAGGATCGCAGTTCAAAGCCAGCCTGAGCAGCAAAGTCTGTGAGACTCTTATCTTGAATTAACCATCAGAAAACCAGAAATGGTGGTGTCGCTCAAGTGTTAGAGTGCTTGCCTGGAGCTGAAGAGCTCAGGGACAGTGCCCAGGCCCAGAGTTCAAACCCCATGACCAACCAAAAAAAAAAAAATCAAGTAAATTATGCCTCTCGTACCAACATCAAATGAATGTAAATCAAAGGTTTTATTTAGTTCATTAATTATGAGTAAAATATTACAAGTTCAGAGAGAATTCAAAGGACCATATATCTATAAGCAATCAGGAATACTGAAGATAAATTTTAAATAGATGAAAAACCAGCCTTTTCTCAGGAGGAAAAAAGGAAAATCAGCTGTCTCTCCATTTACAAAGAATTCATTGCACATCTGTAGACAAGAATTAGTTGTGTTGCTATCAGTTAATCGGTAATATACAAATCTATAAAATAGCTCAAAGATGATGAAAACATGCAAACCTCATAAGGTCAGACAGAACAGAAGAATGTACAAGTATTCCAAACAACTCAGTTTCCATTAATCTTTTGGGTCCATTTTCTGTCCTTCACAACTTCTCCTAACAGTCACGAAGCTAAGTACACTAGAATAAGGACAAAAAGAATCTGTCTTAATTTTATTTATTTATTTATTTATTGTCAGTCATGGGCCTGGGCACTGTCCCTTAGCTCTTCAGCTCAAGGCTAGTGCTCTACTATTGAGCCACAGCGCCACTTCTGGCTTTTTCTTTTTTTGGTCCGGTCGTGGGGCCTGAACTCTGGGCCTGGGCACTGTCCCTCAGCTCTTCAGCTCAAGGCTAGTGCTCTACTATTGAGCCACAGCGCCACTTCTGGCTTTTTTTTTTTTGGTCCGGTCGTGGGGCCTGAACTCTGGGCCTGGGCACTGTCCCTCAGCTCTTCAGCTCAAGGCTAGCGCTCTACCACTTGAGCCACAGCGCCACTTCTGGCTTTTTTCTTTTTGCTTATGTGGTGCTGAGGAATCGAACCCAGGGCCTCAGGCATGCAAGGCAAGCGCTCTACCACTGAGCCACCTTCCAAGCCCCACTTCTGGCTTTTTCTGCTTATGTGGTACTAAGGAATCGAACCCAGGGCCTCATGCATGTGAGACAAGCACTCAGCACTCTACCACTGAGTCACCTTCCCAGCCCAAGAATCTGTCTTTAATTGAACTAAATTATCAAAAGAAGCCATATGAGATAATTAGCAGGAAATGGTGTTAGAAATGAACACAGAACACTCAACAGCAGGAATTCAAATATACATAATTAATGCAGACATAATTCTCTCTATATTCCCCAGCATCCAGAAGAGGAAAATCTAGATGTAAGTATAAAAGTTCAAAATTCTGGAAGTGGCACTGTGGCTCAAGTAGTAGAGTACTAGCCTTGAGCTGAAGAGCTGAGGGACAGCGCCCAGGCCTAGAGTTTTTTTGGGGTTTTTTTTGCCGGTCATGGGGCCTGAACTCTGGGCCTGGGCGCTGTCCCTCAGTTCTTCAGCTCAAGGCTAGAGCTCTACCACTGGAGCCACAGCGCCACTTCCGGCTTTTTCTGTTTATGTGGTGCTGAGGAATCAAGCCCAGGGCCTCATGCTTGCAAGGCAAGCACTCTACCGCTGAGCTACCTTCCCAGCCCCAAGCCCAGGCCTAGAGTTCAAGACCCATGACCGACAAAAAAAAGAGTTCAAAATTCTTAATTCAGACTGCAAGCTCTTACAGAATCTATATTTTACTACCAATTGACAGAAATATCTGAGATCTCATGACTCTTCTGTGACATACAAAAGAGGATTGCAGTTAATCCCTCCTCTTAACCCCATCTTCCTACATTTAAAAGTAACTTAGAATCTGAAACCACTCTTAGAAGATCTAGATCAGGAATCAATAAATTATTAGACTGCAAATCAAATTGGCCTGTCACCTATTTGAGGAAATTCTATTTTATTGAGAGATAGCTATATGCATTCATTTACAGATTATCAATAACTGATTTTGTATTAAAATGGCAGAACTGAGTAGTTACAATAGAGAAGGTATACTTCCCAAAGCCTAACATATTACTATCTAGTACTTAAATAAAGTATGCCACAGAGTAAGGTTTAGCACAGTGATAGCTTGGCTGGTACACAAAAAGGCCCTGGGTTCAGTCCTCAGCATCACACAGACACATACACACATATAATGAAAGAAAGGAAAACAACCTCTGACATAGATCAATAGTTGGTAATACTTTCAAGTCTCTTGGCCTCACTTAAGCATCACAACTTTATTTGATCACTTAATTGTACTTGTTAAGATAACTAAAAAATGCAAAGGCTACTCTGAAGTTAGTTATTTTAAAGACATTATTTTATTAATTAAAATAGTATCAATATGTATTTTTGAAAACTGGAGTGTGTGTGAACAAGTTATTTTTTTTTGGGGGGGGGTCCGGTCATGGGGCCTGAACTCTGGGCCTGGGCGCTGTCCCTCAGCTTTTCAGCTCAAGGCTAGTGCTCTACCACTTGAGCCACAGCACAACTTCCGGCTTTTTTCTTTTTTTTGCTTATGTGGTGCTAAGGAATCGAACCCAGGGCCTCATGCATGCAAGGCAAGCGCTCTACCACTGAGCCACCTGCCCAGCCCAAGTTATTTCATTTATTTAGTTCACAGATATGTTAATTGAACTATGGATCCCCCTTGGAGTCCTCAACTCTAGGAAGCAGTGATCTAATTTGTTTCCTCACTACAGAGAACAAAAATTTATGCTGGTTAATCAACTCTCCCATATAACTGGCATAATAATGGTTTAATAGCAACTATTCAGACTGTTTTTGACATCTTTAATGCAACTGACATATTCAAAATCTCAATAATCTTGTTCCATTTATTAGGTTAAACATTTAAGGGCTAACTGGGCATCAGTAGCTCATGCTTACAATCCTAGCTAACAGGAGGCTGAGATCTGAGAATTGCAATTCAAAGGCAGCCCCGAAAAGTCTGTGAAATGTTTATCTCCAGTTAAACACCAAAAAGCTAGAGGTGGAGGTATGACTCAAGTGGTAGAGAGCTAGACTTAAGCAAAAAAACTCAAGGATAGTGCAGAGGACCTGAGTTCAAGCTCCAGGACCATACCAAAATAAATAAACACAGCTTTATATTTTTGCTCTATAAGTTTCAAGCTCCAGGACCATACCAAAATAAATAAATAAACACAGCTTTATATTTTTGACTGTATGCAAGCTTTAGTTTTTCTCTTTTGTTTTTAATCTTCTTTTATTTTTGAAGTTCTAGAAGTTGAACTCACTTGCTCGGAAAACATTCTACCACTTGAGCCACAGTGCCACTTTTGGCTTTTTCTGTTTATGTTTATTTTTGCTCTATAAGTTTTCCAAACACAAGCCTAAATTTGTCTCTTAAATTCCCCTCTACTGATCTGAGTTTTGAGCCTATGATGAGAATTGGCTCAGAACCTCAAGGTTAGAATCAGCATTAGTTTAAGCTGAAGGCATTCAAAATTCAACAGATGCAGAAAGATGATTTCAAGTATCCATAAGAAGGTGGCTCACGGGGCTGGGAAGGTGGCTCAGTGGTAGAGTGCTTGCCTTGCATGCATGAGGCCCTGGGTTCGATTCCTCAGCACCACATAAGCAGGAAAAGGTAGAAGTGGTGCTGTGGCTCAAGTGGTAGAGTGCTAACCAAAAAAAAAAAAAAAAGAAAGAAAAAATAAAATACACATTGTCTCCATACTCTAAAACACAGACCATCTTTACGTTCTCATATCTTTCTAGTGTATTACTATCTCTGAATCTTAATTCTTTCAGTATATTTATCCTCACCTATATGTGAAAAATACAAATCCATTAAACATGCTTCTCATGCTTTCAGATAACAGTATACTATTACTTTAGATTTGAAAAATAATCTTAGTAGCCAGACACTGGAGGGTTCATACTTGTAACTACTTGGGAGGCTGAAATTATCATCACTGCAGTTTAAGGCCACCTTAAGTAGAAAAAAAAGAGAGGGGTTCAAAGCCAGCCCAGGCAGGAAAGTCCAAGAGACTTTTTTTTTTTTGGGTCCAGTCGTGGGGCCTGAGTGCTGTCCCTCAGCTCTTCAGCTCAAGGCTAGCACTCTACCACTTGAGCCACAGCACCACTTCCAGCTTTTTTCTTTTTGTTTATGTGGTGCTGAGGAATGGAACCCAGGGCCTCAGGCATGCAA